GGGGGGGGACAATTTTCCCTCTGAACCGTTTCCGGGTCCACCCTTGCCAACGAGCCTAATATCATTTAATTTTGAGGTTGTTAAGAGAGTTAAACCTTGAAAAAATAGTATTGGATCAAAAAAATCAATATGAACCGTCTGATTGAGTGTATTGAGATTTTAGCTAGATTTTTCGCTCATCTTAAAAAACATAAATAGACACTCCTTCATGTTGAAGGGGCGGGCGATGGGAGAAAAAAGTATAATGTTCACAACTAAAGAATAACTCTCAAAGAGATGTACAAGCTCAACGGTTACTAGTAATTCTCGATTGTCATTAGGAGAGGTCGTCATAGTCCAATTACCTCTATTATAACTTATGATAATTGTAGCCCTATTATAATAGTTGAAAACAAATTATCACTATGTAGCTGTGCTTGTTTGATTATCTCAAAACAGTTATAATCTCAACATAATTTTATAAATTTATATTCTCTACTTATTATAAAGTTTGAACCTCTGGACATTTAATTACATATTGTAATATTACTTCAATCAAACAATACTCAGCGGCCCATTTCATTTCTATGATTTTTTCAAGTAAAACTTCTAGCCGTTTCTTTAATGTTGATTTGTGTGGGAGAGAATTGTACTTGAGCGGTCTTAAGATTTTTCTATTGTAAAAAAAATTCCAGTACGCAATAATGATTTGATTTTAATTAGATTAATTTATCATTTCTCTTGCACATGTTTAGTTTATGGTAATTGGGCAATTACAGACAGAACACCCGAAACCTGATATTTACTTACAAATCAATCACCCTCTTTCATTTTTCAAATTCTGATCACTCGAATGTCAAAATTCATTGTAAAATCTTAACCAGTATTTTTCACTTCTATCGAATTCTCATTAGTTTGATTGTCTTTGACTTTGTTGGCTTTGACTCAAACAGCTTCACTCAGCCTGACAAGTGGGCTCGTGTTCTTCTATTTGTGGATCCTTCTTTATCTTACACTTTTCTTCTGGATCGTTTGATTTCATCGAGACCAATGTCGTCGCAATTTTGATATACAACGACCTTCATCTTAATCAATCCAAATATGTATCAATGATATTAAGGGTCTGTTTGGGTTAGCTGCAGTTTATTGAATAATTTGCTGATAAGCTGATTAAAAATAATATGTTGATAAGCTAGGTGTCTATTACAAATTTCTTATTATTTTGGAAAAGCCAGACCACTGCCAGAAAGTTGCCAGTTATTATTTTGGAAAAGCCAGACCGCTGCCAGAAAGTTGCCACCGCACGTAGATATGTGCGGTGTGAAAACACTATTTTCGACGTTTTGAAAAAGTATAATCTGCCAAAACGTAATTTACCCAAACAGGTCAGATGTGTTTTTAAAATGCTACCACACTAATTAAGCTGCCCCAAACATACCCTCATCTGCAGGTATGAATGATTGCAAGCCTGTACAAAATCCAACCACGACAAAACATTCATCTACAACAACCTCGATTTTAGACATTTCTTATACTATATATCCACATTTGTTCGCTCAATTTAATACTTAACTATCACATGGTCTGACGTTCTTTGCAGTTAATCGCTATGTCAAGACATGCATGATCCCACCTGTATGCATGAACATCAGCTCAATCATGTACTTAGATATCTTAAGGCAAACATTGAGTATGGTCCTCCAATTTATTTGACCCTAATTGGGTCAAAGTTTCCTCTGATCAAAAGTCTACCACTACTTGTTGTGCCTTTTTTGGGTCCACTTTAATTTCATTGACGGTAAAAAAACAACATCGTTGCACGTTAATCCACAACGGCTAAATATTGAGCCCTAGAGGCCGCTGCAGTGGATCTCATTAGGATTCCGAGTTGCTGACTTCGGTATTTCTATTGATAGTCCTACTAACTTATGATGTGATAAAAGAGACTTTCTGGCTTTGACAAATAACTCTATCTTTCATGCTCACACAAAAACAAATAGAGATAGGATTAACATAAAGATATTTTCACCAAGAGTCTTCCAACATCTCAATTACTACACAATAACTAAACATAAATAAATAAACAAATAAAATAAAAAAGAAAAATAATTCCAAACAAACATTTTTTTTAGAAAGTCTCGGCCACTTTAGCTACAATCTCCTAAAGATGCTTCTCCTGTAATACAACCTTTTTA